TTTGAGAGAGGTATCAAGACTTGCAAACAAAAAAACAACAGTTTTTCGCAGTCTGCTGCTTGACATTCAAATCTATTTTATGGAATTTGACTGCTGTATTCCTGCGCTAGTGGAACAGTTGTGTCAGTGGACCAGCATTGACACTACCCCGTTACTCATGCCTGCTTCGGCATTCCAATATTCATATACAAACATGGAGATTTACTGTTCAAATATCCGAATTGCCAACAATGTTGTTCACTCTCATATCAGACGAAATATGACGGCCAAACACCTTCACACACGATGTGAATTTCAGGTAAGAAACAGACCACTTCAAGAAGAAAGCTATCTGTCGATGGTCAAGACAAGATATTTGCAATTTTTATGCCGTTGTGCTTGCGTCAGAGAAATTGCTGCGACTGGCTAAAAATCCTTTTAATTTGTAAATGGGGCCTGCGACATTTTATTTTCATCACCAAGGCATCTTTATTTTCGTCAGCTGCCAGTCTCAGCATTGTGATCATTGTGCAAAATGGCGCTTTTCACATAGGGTCAACGGGAGCTAGGCAGATGTCATTCTGTTCCCTGTTGTAATGTTACGGCTCAGGAAGCCGAACCCATTGCAGGGGCGCAATTTGGTTGTTGTTCTGCATTATTTGTGTTCAAATTGTGCTTCTATACTCAATTTTCATCCGTTCTAAATCAAATGCAAACGTTTGGAGCAAAAGGCCCTAAGCGTCTTTTAAGGCCCCAATCCCTTTCAAGCAATGGCCACCAAACAATGAATCAGCTCTCAATGTTTTCATTCCTTTAGCCTTTTGGGTTGAGTCGCTGCGACCCCGGCGAAAGGCTTGCATGCAAATAGCAAAAACGTCTCCCGCATGCCTCCCTGCGCGAAGAGGCGACACCGTTCGTGCCAGTAGCGCCGCCACCACCGTCACTCCGTTGACTCGTGCTTCAGTAATGGGAGGTGGGTCTCAGCTAATAAAACAATGGTTAGTTGTTTGAAGCTCACATATCACTCAGCCATGTTGCCTGTGCGACTCTGTCCAGCGTTGGCGCTGGCAGTGCCGCCAGCAAAGACGCAATGTTCAATCGTGTTCAACAAGAAGTCAAGTTGAACGCCGTTTCACGCACTTAAGACTATATATATATATATATATATATATATATATATATATATATATACCGACGCCGCCTCCAGCCACATAGCATTGATTTGCATCTCAGTGCGGTAAGGTGCTAGGTGCAAAGTTATTCCAAGTTTTCAATGCTTACGTCAATGGGTAGTTTTCGGGGTGCGGAGACGCCATTGTCATTAGTGCTAGATCTTGCGGCGATTTGGACGGTTTGGACCTACCACAACTTGTTTTCCACATATATGTAATAAGGGGCTTCTTGCTAAGTGCCGAAACATCCCCTTCTCGCACGCACTGTGACCGACACCGGTGTGAAACGTCACGAAGGTTGAACCAGTCGTTTGCATTAAATTCAGGGTGACTCATCCACGCCTCCTTGCTAAGCAGCACAGAAAGTGTAAGCTAAATTCGGTTAAAAATCATACGGATGTTAGCTAATGTCTACTTTATACCATCGACCCACCATCCAGCGCTACGCCACGGGTGGCACCCGCACAGGCGCCTGTGGTGTTACCTCTTTACGTTGGGGAGCGGGCGCCTGCGGTGTTGCCTCTTTACGTTGGGGAGCCGGCGGGAACACATTGCTTTCTCTAAGCCTCCGGTGCCGGCGTCAACCGGCAGCTCCCTGCGAGTGGAGATGCTATATTTGTTGTTGTTCGAGCTATGCGACTTGTTTTTTGCACATCTCGTTTCCGCCACGTAGGTACACGAAAGGTGTCTTTTGCTAGGCGTCAAACACATCCCCTCCGCGCGCGCTGTGACTGGCATCGGTTCCGGACTGCAAATCTGATCATTTGGTCAAATATTCCGAAAACCCAACCGCTAATGTCCCTCACCAGTTAACATTTAATGCATTTCAGCTATCAGCGGTCTTCGTCGCATGCCTTCTTCAGTCGCGAATGGTTCCCGTTCCCACAGACATCAACGTCACGTCGTGGCATTCGTAGCCGTCTCTAGTCTCCTCTCGGGTGGTCGTTCTCAGCCTGCCTCTTGCCTGTCCTTGGGCCGCCTGTCGCCCTAGCTGGTGCCACCCCAACAGCGCTGGTCGGGTGGTCCTTCGCAGCCTGCCTGCTGCCTGTCCTTGGGCCGCCCGTCGCCCTAGCTGGTGCCACCTCAACAGCGCTGGCCCCTAGGTCGGCCAGGCCCGCCCGTTCACGGCGGCCGGTTTGCCGGCTGGCTGTCAGCGGGGCTCACCAGTGCGACAGCCGGGGCGGGGACGGACACGGGATATCACTCTTTCGGCCGGGCGGCACTTGATCGCCGGTATTACTCTTGTGGCCGGCGGCGCGGCGACGATTGTCGCCGGATAGACGCGCACCAAAAGAATGGCGTAATTAAGAGCGCGGCGAATCAGGCGCGGATCGGCCGGGCCGCCGCCGGTCCCTCCGGCCGGTCCCGAAAAACGGGCCACAAAAAGGCCGCCCCCGCCCCGCTGCAGAGGCAGAAACCCGCCGCCCAGACGGACAGACCGGCAGACAGACCGGCACACAGTCTGGCGTAGTGGCACGCAGCGTTGTGCGCATGCGTACTTTGCAGATGCGTTTGAAATCAGCAGCGGCCTCGTGTATTTGACGCCATGGCCCATCCTTTCTTAGGGAGCGGCCAGGTTGAATCGTTTCCTCATAAACTCAGCTTTAATGGATCTCGTACTGTTCAAAAGTGTCCTACAGTACACGAGATGGAATTCAAGGGAGTGTTCCAAATTTGTGTGGGGTTTTGAAATGAAATAACTATCTTGAACATTAGTCGGTGCAGTTCACAGCCCTGCCCTTCTTATGACCTGAACCCCTCTAGTTACTGAGTTAAGCGCCAACGAATATGTGCATACTTTTTCGGGGAAACTATTTCAAGGTCACCAAGGCATTCATGACGCTATGATAACGTCCTTCAAATTCTGTCATTCCATTAGCTATACGGCGATCAAGGCCAATAAAACATAATTGTTGAGTTGTTCATATGTGGCGTTCGTGAGCACGATTTCCAGACGTTACGGCCGTTAATTAGCTCTCAATCATTGTTGTGCAAGGTACGATGACGTAACCAAACGATGACATATTGAGGAGCATATTTACCAAACAGAGAAATTTTGTTGTCTAGAGCAGTTTAAGAGTTATAGCTATAAGTGAGCTCATTTAATCACATCTGACGCTTTCTTGCATATCTTCAAATGCAGAGCATTCCCTCTAATTTGCAGGGAATCTATGGAGATCATACAGGACTTCGCAACCACTGTCACGTTGTCCTTTGCTGATCGGACTTTGCCTTCCAGGCGTATCCGACCGCGGGTAGTCGTTCGTCTGCCCAGCCGGTAAACTCCAGGTACGGCCGCGCTCGCCGTCGGCGGTGACTGGAAGCCGCTAACTCCACTCTGCGGCGGCTGATTCCCCCTCACGATTCCAGGGACTCTGGAGGGGAGCGGCCCCGGCCCGGCCCCGGCCCCGGCGGGCTGGGGCGGCCGACATTGGACCGGCGCGGGACGGCGTCCACGAGCGGCCAGTCATGTGCGCGTCATTCAAGAGTGTGCTCTTGTCGGCCGGACGGCCGGCAGCGGACCATTGAGACGCGTGCAACGACCTGTTATTACTGGTGGTGTAACCAGCACCGGCGGCAGCGCGCCGGCAAAATTACCTCGGACGTAACGTGGGTTTTCTGATAATTGTTTCACGCACCGACCCCAGGGTGGGTCTTAAATCACGCAATGTTCCGGGATAAAACCGCAGCACAGAGGAGCTACAGGAGAAACCCATGGATTCTGGGGCATGCATATTTGCACTTAAACGCCGCGAGCGCCTTTGAAAAGATTATACCAACCGCACGAAGTCTCCTCATTGAGGGTTGATGTAATTAACTACATTTATGACAAGGTCTTATGATTTTGAACAATCTACAGCAACCTCCTACATTCAGTATGAAGACGCCCACTGGAGCATGTCGAGTCGGTCATCTTCACCACGGGTCGGAACTAAGAGCAACTCTTAGCGGCTGCCTCTCGTCCGCATCCGAAGCAGTGGCCGTCTACGGCACCAGTCGCCTGGACCGCAGCCGAGCCTGGTCTCGGCGGATGGTCGGACCATGGTCGGACCTGGTCTGGCCAGACTGTGGGCAGCTGCAGCGGGCGGCCGGACGGGCCGGCACAGGCCGCGCCGCGCGGAGCTGACCGCCGGCGCCGGAGCCGCTGACGCCGCCTGTTTGCACCGGGTTCAAGGATATTCGCGCCCCGTTGTGGCTGCCTCTGACGCCGGCGGCGCGCCAGCCTTTCTCGCCGCTGAATCGGATGGATTCCTCGCCAATTTTCACCGATTGTTTGCGTGCCGCGCCGGCGGCGCCGTCCGCCTCTGCACTGGCCGCCGCCGCCGCCGCCGCCGTGCAGCGCGGCGGCTGCAGACGCCTGCAGTGGGCGTCAATTGAGCCGACCAAACGGTGTCAAGTGGCTTTTGACACTCGCAATTAGAGTAATGGCGTAAACAGATGTTTTAGTGACCCGTCTCGACACGGCCTGGGGAGGGCGGAGGCCGCGGTACGATCGCGAGCACACCGCGTGAGAAGTTTGGTCTGTCCGACGGCTTTGCAAAACCGCGACGATCATGCAGCCCCAGAGGCTGCTCATCAGAAACAGATCACCGCTTGCGCATAATAAATACACTTGCTTCCGAGTACATAGTAAATTCGAGCATTCACCCTTGCTGTAACTAGAAAATATCATCCCCATTGGTACGATTGCACGTATTTTGAGCAGACTCAGCCGTACCACTGGTGGCCGGGCCCTGGTGCTCCGTCCCCGCCGATGGTCGGAGCCGGCCACTGAGCCGGTGAGCGCGTGCCCCGGCTGCGCGCATGTGTGCCGAGCTGGCGACCTCGGCCGCCGCGAGTCGGTCTTACCGTGAGTTGACGCCTCCCTGGGCGACGGCCAGCTCCTCCACGGTCGGCTTTCTGTAAATCAAATAAGCCAAAACTCAGCGCAAATCAAACAAAACCGAGAGGAAGGTAAACAAAGCCGGTGACTGGACGTGTTCGCCACCCTGACGCCGCCGCCGCCCGGCGCAGGCACGGCAGCGACAGGAGGCGCCTCTTCACGGGCCAAATCAGGCCAGGCACGTGCTTACTAGAGCGCTCACCGGCTCCATATCCGGAGAACGCGAATGCATGCGAGCTTCGAAACTATTGCTACGACCATCAGGAAAACATTTTTTGCCGGCATTCACTGTCAAAAGACGAACGCATCCATGTCTAAAAACATAACACCTGGGTAAGCATGCCTTGGTTATCACCGACACAGGAAACTGCGCGGCTGCAGCGATGCAGCCGTATGAACGAATGCAACATCGAGATACGTTGAGGCATGCGTCGTACGTGGTACGGTGGAGAGACCTTACTTGCAACCAATCTGCTGGGCTAAATCCATATCTTCAAAACCTTGAAAGTGCTCCTCTGGCTAGGGAAACATGCTTGCAGTCCACTGACAGCAGTATTTACCGCACAAATCACCAGCGAGAGAAGAATCGCGCGCCGCCTCGCGGAGCGCTCACAGCGCGCTCCCTCCTCCGTGCTGCGGCGGCCGAAACTGCCGCCGCGCTCAGCTGATTACGACAGCCGACCGCGCCTACAGTCAAATTTGATTGGCTAATTGAATAATAAGAACGCACATGGCGATGGACGTATCGGAGTCCACTCCAGGAAACAGGTTCTGCCTGGGGTCGGGTGGCAGGTGGAGCTGGGACGCCTGGAAACTGGTCTGATCGGAGACGCGCTCAGCGGCGTCCCCGGCGCCCGCCCGCGCCGGCCCGGCCGCCGCGCGGCGACGCCGTCAGCTGACCTTGCGTCCCAGCGCAGCATCCGAATCCCGCGCTGCACGGACCCGACTCGACTTGTCGCACGTGCTCGCCGGCGGCCGGACCGAGTTCGGCTCTGGGGCCGTCGGCCGTCGCGCGCGTGACGGTCCGTCGTGACCACGTCGGCCTGTTGATGCCGGCGCGGGGCCTATGTATGGGTATGGCCAGCATCGCCGCTAATTAATTTACTGGCTCTAGCTGTGAGAAGCTGCGATTGGCGCTGCCGCGCCGCGGCAACCGCATTCACGGCCGCGTTAGCCGTCGCAGATTTAGGTCCGCCTCGTGACACGCTGCCGCCGGGCCGATATTGAACAACAATGCTAAATCAAACGGGCGCCATTACATAAACCATTCAAGTGAAGGCTATCGCAGATTAAATTTGGCGTGCCGAGTCGGGTCACTCTGTGCAGCGGTGAGCGCGCCGGCTGCGCCGTGATCGTCTGCGCGCAGACACGCAGAGCTCGTCAGGCGGAACCGCGCGCTGCTGATCTGCGCCGAGCAAGTCGCAGATCAGCCGACCGGTAATCGGAATCTTCGTCAGTTATTTACAGCGACATTTACGCGTTTGCAATCTCAGTGCGCGGCGAGGCGATGAGTTACCGTTTGCAAGTAGGGTAAAGTTAATATAATGAGCAGTCTCTACCATTTATGGTGTTCTTGATGCGTTGTGTCGTAACGAACAGGCTCGCCGACAGAAAATATTAGCCATCAAATTATGGAGAGGGCGCCAGTTGTGGCGTTGTTCGCCGACTGCCCGCTGCTCTGGCCGCGCTGTGAGCGGTGCCGCGCCGCTGTCGACACACACACACATACACACACACACACACACACACACACACACACACACACACACACACACACACACACACACACACACACACACACACACACACAATACACACACACACACGCACACACACACACACACACACACACACACACACGCATATGTACGCACATACAGAGCATGTTCTCACGTGCCATGCATCCGCGCCAGAAGCGGGCTGTCAGTTACCTGCGCCGGCTGGCAGCAAGTGAGAGGAATCCCACATGATTGACTCTCCTTCCACGGCGTCGTTTTTGCATAAGAAAACATGCTGCATGATTGCAGGTGGCCCAGATGCATCTCTTTGTTCCTGGGGCGACTGCAGGACGCCAGTTTGAGTGGAGGGTCTCTTTGTGCTGAAGATAGCGGGGTAAGTATTATCGGTAGCCTCGGTAAGTGCACAGAGGCGCTATCACTAATGCTCTTCGATAAGATATCGAAGGCGCCCTGTCAGTTGTGAAGGTAGCTGGTTCACTGGGAGAGGGATGCGCACGGCTGCGGCCGGCCAGCGCGCCGTGTTGGCCTGCTGCACGGTCTGCCTACCCCCCGGTGATGACAGAGCAGAGGCCTCATCAACAGCGGGCAGTGGCCGGCAGCCTGGCCGCCGGCGTTGCCCGACAAATCACAGCCCTGCCCAGCTCCGGCAGCCCGGCCGGCCGCGCCGGCCGGCGGCAATATCGCCGCGCTTTATTTCCTCCACTGCTGATAGGTGCTTAAAAGTCGAGTGAAATTGTGTTCGGGCTTTGAAGTATGACCTAACAGCACATCCATCCCATTACGCCGGGGCAAAGTCATAAAGTTTATCATTCAGATAGTTTCCAGGTAATTCCTTATCAAGGCCAACGACCAGCCAAGCCTTCGCCACTTAGCCCATGTTGCATGCATATGAAAACATGGCCATGAATGAGTGCGAACTGCGCAGAGAGGGATACCGTGCTTCACCTTCACAGCACGCTGCATTTGCAGGGCAGTGGAAAACGCTGGACCTCACAGCGCAGGTGGATACCCTGCCAGCTAGCGTTCAGTTTTCCCAGAGATCCCAGCGCGATCACCCGCAGTCGAAACCATTTTGTGGGCACGGTAAGGACAATGAAACACATGTGATTGATACTTCGGCTTCTTTCAGATGACCGGAGAATTTTCTGGTGATTTATTCCATTTTTGTTTGTCAGTCAGGACTTTTCCCCGAGACCCTAATAAATCACGCCGGCCCGATTCGTGTCTGCGTGGTCGTCCGCGAGGCGCGCCGCCGCTCGGCCGCCGGCGGCCGGCGTCAGTCGCATCGCTGGAATCGGAGGATCCGCCGGTCGACCCGCGCCGCCCCGTTGCATCACCGACCGGCCGTCCAGCGGGGGTTCCGCATTACAGGACCCCCTCCTCGCACCGGGGCATTGTTGCAAATCATAAAATCGCCATCGCCACATGCGGTGGAGGGGCCGGGGCTGGCCGGCTGGCCGCGGCGGCGTCCCACCGCGCGCGCTGCCGAACGCTGAAATATGAATTGACGTTTGACCCCTGTTGCCGTAACAAGGCGCGGGACGCGGTGACGCCGCTGGGTAGGGACCGGCGCGGCCCACTGACCAGCACGTGGCTGCGTCGCATCGCCCTCAGCTGGGCGACATTCCTGGCGCCCGTGGCGGCCCAGCCGACTAGCTCACGCCGTCCGGCCTCGCCCGTCGCCGACACCAGCCCTCATTAGTTCAGGACTGGTTCAACTGGGCCTGGCCTCATCCCAGGCATGCCAGGCGGCCGGAATTCTGACGTGTTTTCTCACTAGCTTAGCTCGACGCGTAAACACCACGGCACTATGTAGTTCACACAGCAGTTTTAGAAATTGGGGCGATGTAGAACAGTTATAGAATGTGCACAAAAATTTGGAATTCAGCAAACGCCCGTTCAAAATTGGACAGAACACCGTAAAGCATTCGAGATGCAGCGGCCTTTGATCGCAGCCAGAAGCGGCAGAGCGGGCCGTGGCCAGTGGTACAAGCGGAACAGGCGGGACCGGGCCGTGTCTAGTAGGTCCGCCGGGAGGCATTCTACAAGCCGTTGTCATTCGATGGATATGAGCGGCCGGCCGGACGTCCGATAATTCGAGCCCGGGGAGCCCTTGGCCCGTCTGCCGAGCGCCGGCGCTGGGCTGTGAAGGCACACGTGTCGGCCGAGCCGAGCCAAGGCTGCCCCGGCCGGCGGGCAGCGTCGCCCAGCAGGCCGAAGCTGCCCTGGCTGGCGGGCAGCGCTGCCCAGTAGGCCGAAGCTGCCTTGGTTGGCGGGCAGACGGTCCAGCAGCCGAAGTGCCCTGAGCTGCCTTGGCTGGCGGGCAGCGCCGCCCAGCAGGCATGTCCTCCCGTCGCACGGCGTCAGCTGGCGCCGGACCTGGTATCAGATCAGGCCGGCTCCCGGCTCACTTACGCTCGCGCTTTATTGCCAACCATCTCGGGATACATGTGCCGACAGGCTGCTGACGCCGACACTGACACCCCCTCCCCTTCGCCATTCCCATCCACCGACAATGGCACCCCTGGCACCCCTGGCGACGCGCAACATTTAGACCGCAATTTTTACCGGAAAACAAAGCGTCTGAGGTTGGGTGGCATTCCGACGCCAGCTGCCGCCGTCTGGCCTGATCGGCGCGACGGGGGACCACTGGCGGCGGTGCTCCACCTGACTGGGAGGTCGGCTCGGCGGCAGCGCAGAGTGCCCCGATCCACTCCGTAGCCAGAGAAGCTCGGAGCACGTTTCTGGTGTCAAAGCACGGGGAATGGATGCCCCATCGGCTGAAAATTCGGGCGCGATTTTAAAGCATGCTGAAAAACTATTGTTAACAAGCTTAAGGGAGTCGCATCATGCCCCCCCCCCCCTGCTTCAGGGCGGGGGTTAATGCATTTTATTTGGGCATCCGAATACAGCAGGTAAGGTGCCCTCTCACCTGGACAAGCACATTTAGCATTATGCCACTTCAGGACCCAAAGTCAAGATGATTGAGGACTGCTTGCGTTGAATCACCGTGTGAGCGCTACACGCCGAGTGGACGCTGTACGGGCGCTACACGCCGAGTGGACGCTGTACGGGCGCTACACGCCGAGTGGACGCTGTACGGGCGCTACACGCCGAGTGGACGCTGTACGGGCGCTACACGCCGAGTGGACGCTGTACGGGCGCTACACGCCGAGTGGACGCTGTACGGGCACTACACGCCGAGTGGACGCTGTACGGGCGCTACACGCCGAGTGGACGCTGTACGAGCGCTGCAAGCCGAGTGGACCCTGTGCGAG